ACCCATTCACTGCAGAGGATCCATTGGCGAGCAAATGATATAATGCTATATTTCTCCACATCTGCTCTGATGTAGATATCATTTACACAATCACTCAGCTTATTTGTTTAGCAAATATTTCCAGAGAAATGCATCTCTGTAAACAATAACCATTCTCCAACATAATGGATCATATGACATATCAGGAAACTTCTGACCTGATTGTTTTGTCTTCTGAGGTTTGGACAATAGATGTGCTTCCTGGTACCCAGCACACATGGGTCACCTGAAACGGAGGGCAACGGGACAAGACGCGATCATATTCAGTGCCCAAAAATACTTTTAACACACACACAAGAATATTAGAACATAAAGTACATTTCTGAATACAGCCTTTCTAACCAGGTTGCGTGAGATGGTGTGTTTTTGCAGACATTCTCCCGACTCAATGTCCCAGAGGCGCATGGAGTTATCACGAGAGCCCGTGCATAGCTTTGAGCCATCTACGAAATGAATAAAACCCCATGAAAGGATTGTGTTTGAGATTTTGTGGTCATTGAGTGTTTTTCTTTGAGGGTTTGTTCACCTGGGCTTACCACTACCCCGTTAACTACAAGCTCATGGCCACAAAACTCCTGGACGGGTTCTGTATCTCGACCCAGATCCCACATCAGCACCGTCTTATCACGGGATGCACTGAAGATCAAGGAACTTCCTTTAAAACAGCATAACTAAAGGAAAACAAGAGAGATGTGTATACACAATGTACATGCTAAATAATTAAGCAATCTTTGTTTTATTCATTTTTGCTCCACCAATGAAAACTGTTCCAAAATAAGTCAAAGCTTTGTTTGTCGAATCAAATTAAAGAGGCTCTAACTGTAGTTTTAATACCTTTGTAATCTCTCTGCTGTGGCCCTGGAAAGATTTACACCGTTTTCCAGCTCTCCATTCATAGACAACAACAGCCTGACCGAAAAAAAACAAAACAATGACGATAGCATATTAAAATGCACATAATGTAAATCAATGAACAAGATATTATGACGATTATTACATGTTGATTTAAAGCCTACAATGTGGCGTGTGTAATTTCTGTGCCACTAGTGGCACAAAACTAAACTGCAAAAATAGCTAGATTTTTACATGCTTGATGTTATCA